ACACACACACACACACACACACACACGAGTACACACAGACACATGCACACACACAAAGTATTTCTATGGGCATAACCATAATCCCACTTACGACAACCATATCCATAAATAACTAAACAAAATACAAGACTTTTTGCCATTTTTAGTTTTTTAATTGCATTCACAGATTTTGGTCCCCAATAAATAAGAATGACTCCCCCCACAAGCACAGCCACAAACCCTCAGGCAGACACAGCTTCTGCACATCTGTCATTAATGGAGGTTCCAGTTCAGAGAAAAAGGAACCAACCGTTTCAAAGAATCCACACATCAGTTGCATGACATCGGCAAACGCATCCACCAAATGTCCTTCTCTCAACAGACCAAATGCATTTCTTGAAGTCCTACAGAGTGATGTCTTGCCCCCATTTATAAGAAGGCTCTGCAGAAGGTAGCTGATCATTAGAAGACCATATTTCTCAATTCAGCGATCCATGCCCTCCATTCACATATCATTTACAAAAGCACAGCAAACACCTGCCACTTAGTGCCCTGCATCCAACATGGGCTCAGGTTATGCCAGGATTATCCGCAGATAATATAATTCATAAAATACATCATACTGTTCCTGTCTGTGATCTCTGCCGGCGTGATAAAACATGAGTACGACGTGGTAGCACTGTCCAGTCCAGAAGGTCCTCATATTTCAAACAAGCCTGTCATGGAACAAAGCTCATCCTTCAAACGTGTGTGTAGGTGACACAAGCACATTGTGTCAGCTTCTCATTCCCTCCTTGGATCGTGTGACACAGCGACGCCCTCCTTTGGGACACAGGTCCGGAGACCTCGACCATCAGCCAATGACATCCTGAGCCAGCTCCATCCCAGGATCGGTTTCCGGTGAAACACCGGGCCTCAGATTTAATCCCGGGAGTTAACATTTCATGGCCAATGATAAGACACCGTGAGGCATAGTGGGTGACAGAAATGGTAACAGGAGGACTCAGAGGTACTGAAAACAGTCAACCCATACAAATAGGCATAAAACATAAAGAGGCAAGGTCCAGGACAACTCCGAGATAATGGTATCTACTCAACAGTCAGCCACTGAGATGCTCAGGGCCCAGTAGGGTTCACCAATCTTCTTCTGCCCCAAATTCTAGCCATACCATGCCCTACCCATAAGCCCACTCTCACCCATAACCTCGTGATCTCTGTCCTAGAGTTCTGTGATCTCACAGATATTGTACTAATGACTCTACAGAGACTATAAAAGATTTACCAGCTGTTACATAAGCAGCGATAACACAGGGATGAAAGGAAATACTCAATGAATTATTCAAGTACTTTTGGGTATTAATACCATTAGTTGTAATTCATAATATCATCCTGACTGTTACAGAAACCCTCTGAACAGAGAAAAACCAAGTAACAATACCTACAAATAGGATGTAGTTAATCCACTTTAAATGCTGTATGAAAACACTATAAATAAATAACACTCTGCAGTCATAAAATATACATAAAACAATTATACTGCATGACTGGTGTTCTTTGAACAAAGTATTATATGAAAACTTACCCTTGCCATCAGTAAAGTAGTGAATGGCCTTGCAGATAATATAATTACACATAGGTGTTCCTGTTAAATGCATTTCACCAAATAAATGAGCGTCTTGTCTTTATTTTAAAACATGACAACCATATTTTGTTTTACATGTAGAGCCAATTAGAATTATTTGAAATTAAATGGCTCCATAATATTCTGAGACGACAGCAGAACAGCGTAAACTTCAGAAGAGGCGTCTCAGTGGAGTGAGCAGCCACAGACGGTGGGGCCTCCAGAAATACTTAGACGCAAACTGGCTAAACCACAGCTTCATTACAGATGCTCTTTGGTACACATAAAAAATGAACAAAGAAACATTTTCAGCGCAGAGTAATTAAAGTAATGAAAATAAATAAATCAGACTCTGACAGCTAGCTGGAGCTGTTGGAGGTATTTAGGAGGTTTATAAAAACAAACGACATTTAGACGAATAAACCTGCAGGAGGAAGGGGTTTACTTCCTGGGGGGGGAGCTGGAGGTTAAAAAAAAACAAAGCCATCACGAGCGTGGCGCCTTTCCGATAGCGTCCCACCGGAAAACAGTACTGGAAAAAGTACATACAAACATAGCCCAAGTGTTACTCATCAGCACAGAGTAATAAATCATCAATCAAACCAAAAATGTGTAAGAGAGTCTTTAAATCACAAGAGGACTTGCACTAAGGGACCAGTTTATTAGGTACACCTGTTTGTTAATGCAAACAGCCTGATCCTCTGAACAAGGAATGGTGTGGTTGAAACCAAACAATACAGACTCTGACAAGGTCAAGAGGTTCACTTACTGTTTGGTTAAGCATTAAAACTGCTTAGAAGTGTGATCTAAGTGATTCAAAACATGGAGTGACTGCTGCGGCGCTATTCCACCCCACTAGGTACCGTACTTTTGGTATAGTACTTTCGATACTTTCCTTTTTCCATTGACTTCCAATCCAGTACCAGTACCAGACGTACTAGTACCAAATGTACTAAACCAACTGAGGTACTTTTTTGGTATTATGGAACTTTGGGGTGGGACTTACAAACGTGTTCAGTGTGGATTGGTTATGCAAATAGCCTGCCTCTGAAGCACAATACAACCACCATCCTGAAAAAAGTTACAAACTCAGACAACAATGGTAACATTTTAAAAAAGTAATAATAATATATGCGTGGACAAAGGAGACCCAAGCTTAAATTGTAATCAAGTCGGAAAAAACAGTAACTGATCTGGGTGCCAAGAGAAGAAATAGAAAAATATTTGCTATAATAAACTACGTCTATATGATGCAGAAAAAATTCAAATATCATAATGTGATTTTGTTGTAATAAACATTGGGATATTTAAAAAGCAAAAATGGAGTTCAAAATAAATTACTCATAAACCTGTCTATGAGTGATTTAAACTGCAAGGATGAAAATGACCGGAAATGCAACCTACAACAGCAGCGGCGGCAAACTTTAAAGTGATTTTTAAAACGTGTACTAGATGATCTTGAAAAGGAATAATCATTAAAATTGCAATGCTTGCTAAGTTTTGTTTCCTATGGCAAAGTAAAAATGTTTTAGTGAAATGAACTCCCTGCGCCATAATGTCCATACAGCAGTACTATTCAAATCACGGTCCTCAAGGGCTGAGTACTGCTGATTTCCCAGCCTTCCTTTATCTGTGGGTTGGGTGTGAAGCCACTGGCCAATCAGAATAAGTAATTATTTAACTAACTACCTGGGAGAAGTGAAAACAAGGCCTGGCTTTGGAATTGAGGGACAGATTTGAGGAGCCATACAGTATGAAAAAATGAAAAAGCCTCATCTCAAACCAGATGATTTTGTCGTCCTTGTGATGTGAGAATTGCATGTGGATGACATGCAGTGTTGGTTTTAATATTGTCCAGCCTTATAATATACTACAGCCATTTTTTTAATTCGTACAAAAATTTGCATTGTGATGTCATTCAGCGCCGGTACCAGTTTTTATGCCAGAGGAAAACCAATATCTTGAAGTACCGTACTTTTGGTACTTTCTTGAAGTACCTAAAGTACAGCACCTGGTGTGGTGCTAAAGTACCCGATAGCAGACGTGGTGGTGCCAGCATCTCAGAAACCCTCCTGGGATCTTCACACACTACGATGCTTAGAGTTTAAAGAAAAGTGAGACGAACAAAGAAACATCATTAGCAGCAGTTCCACTCCCAAATCATCCAAAAATACTCCAGAGGAAAAGGACCAGACTCATTAAGACTAATAGGAAGGACAAGTGCAAGAATGACAGCTCAGTACTGCACTGGTGTGCAGAAAGGCCTCTCTGAACACCAAACCCCTCTATACTTGAAACGGATTTGGGGGACGATGGGGGTCTTAAGCAGTTCAGTTAATAAAGATATAAAGCTTTGTAACAGTGTCAATTATTAAGGGATTGTTAAGCAACTGTCAAGTGACCACTAATCCTAGATCGTTTCAAGTTAGTTATAGCCTTAAAAAATGCAGGGGAAAAAAGGATTAAGTATGATTTCCAGTGGTGACAATTGACAAATCAATGCAAATGATCACAAGGACGTGAGAGAAAGGGCCAATCGGCAAACCACATGCAGCAGGATCGCAGGGGGTTCGTACAGGGAAAGAACATAGCAGAGGCAAGTGGACAAGCCATGCTGGTGTGAGAGCAATGAACACAGCTGGACCTGAGCAATCCTGCATCCACTTAAGTGACTTTAGGTTCCCAACGTTATGTTCTGAACAGGCTGCAAAGCATAGGAGTTGGTACATTCTTAATATACATTCGATTATAGTGCATGGGGCGTGTGCTGCTTTTTTCCATGTAAACAGAATATACTGTGATGTAACTGTCCCCCACACACTTCTGAAATTATTTTGGGAGGATGACAAATAATTGTTCTGGTCTAAAGCAGAGCGTTTATTTTCCTTAACATGCAAACGGGTCAGAGATACATACAAAGTTATTTGACACGAACAGAGCAGACACAAAAATTACAAACACATTCTGATACAGGACAGGCGGGAGATGTTACCCCACAAGAAAGAGAAAATATATTAAAAATGGTAATTTTACAATAGTCAGCAATGTATGAATTCACAAAAGGATATTTGTTTTTATGTTCAAACACTGCACGCTCTCTCTCCCCCTCTCTCAGGACAGTACATAAAGTGTTAATCCAGAGCACAAACTAGAAGCACATGCAGATAATCAGCATCAATAAAATACACCATTCAAGCCACTTCTTTGTGCACAGATTTACACTCCATCATGACACAGAGATACAGGAACACTAGGCCACAAGGTGTCTTCGTACAGTTAAAGTGCAAACGTACGCATCCCACTGTCAGTCTACGGCTCCTTGACCGTCACAGACGTGGGCCTTCTTCAACATGCCTAGGTTGAAGAGGATGGAGCTGAGGTTGATGACCAGGAAGGAGTGGGTGGGGTCAGTTGTCCTCTGCATCTCCTGCAGCTTCAGGTGGATGGTGAAAAGCTCAAACAGCCTCCTGTTCTTCCTGCGAGTAACCAAAAGATGCTTTTCTGTCAAAAAGTGAATCGTTGAATGATGGAGGCCAAGCAGCGATTTGACGTGGCATGGATGAGTTAACCGCCGTGAGCGTAACGTAAGATGATGCATGTGAACAAGAGACACACTTAGCATTTTACAAGGAATAAAGTGTTATTCATTTGTTTTTAATCCCCAACTCTGCAGCAAACTTTCACCAGTTCCAAGCTGTCAGTTTATTGAATGAGTACTTAATAGGTCTGTAGTGCTGTGCCGTACAGACACTCAGCAAAAAACACCCATATGGGCAATCAGAGCAGAGCACAGCAGTCCTCAGACTCACATCTGGACATGGGACTACCCTGTGAGGGACCCACCTCATCTTGGAGAGCTTCTGCAGGAGGACGCTGACCTTCTCGACAACCGTGACCTCTAAACGGGGACTGCGCAGGAGCAGGGACACTGAGCGAAAGAAGTCCTCCGTGCTGCAGGACTCCAGGAAGCAATTCAGGTGTCCTACAGACAGGAAGTCCAAGTCGCTAAACTTGCCAGCACCAAAATATCACTCATAAAGGAAGTGCTGAGAATGTGCTCTCTCAAATGCACCCAGTATGAGTACAGCAGGACAGCTCAGAGGGAACGTGCAGTACTACCTCTGGTACGCGTCAGGAGGCCACACCAGCGCTCCCATTCATCACCCAGCCAATTAAGGCACTCCTGAAGGTTTTCTGCATGTCTTCAATCACTTTTGTTTTATGTCTGAACATATCATCAATTAACTAGGGGCCAAATATGGTTTTAACCCCCCCACCAAATGACTGGAGAAAAACATTGTCCAGCAAATTAAATTCAGTCTTATTCTCCAAATTGTTTTGTGATACCAGAGCCTGCTTCTAATTTGGCAGAGCTGGGGGGGGGGGCTTTAATCTCTTCTGAGGAGCAGACTGGAGGGAGAAAAGCACCCCAGATGTGGATCAGATACAATATGATGACAAGAAAATATCTGACCATTTAAACCTTTAGATGCCCTGGACACAGTGACATGTAATTCAAGGCTCAATAACAATTCAACAAGTTTAACCATATCGCCAAGGGCTTGCACTCAGCAACACTGGATATTACCAATGTAATATCAACTCTGACAGCATGCACAAATGAAGTCATCCCATAACACGGCTTCACGAATGTCCCATTTAAATGGCCCTCATGCAGGGGGAGCCACACAATCACGTAGCATGTCAAGCCACCACAGCCCCACTAGGGAAGGGTATCATTAAGATTTTAACAATACTACTACTCTTACTGATACTGCTTATTGATCCAGTACTTTAACAGTACTGTTTTTTTCTTTTGTAAATAAAAAGTAACAAATTAAGAACAGAATTAACATTGCTTTCTCATACGTACTTTATATAAATTAACATTAAGCTGCAAACTGCAATGTATATGAAAAGAAATCATGCACATTTGACTATGAGAGACTGATCTTGTGATGGAAATACAAAACAAATATAATAATGTTCATTACAACTGAATGGAGGAATGCCAGTAATTTTACTGTATGATAACCTTAGTTTGTCCAAATCCGCCCTTACATGCAAAAGACTTATTGGCAAGGAGCATTGTCAGCATCAGGAGGGAGGGAGGGGGGGGGGAAAGAGAGAGAGAGCGAGAGAGCGAGAGAGAGATGCTCTGTGCTCCACCACTCACACAAGGCTGAGAGATCTCTCTCTTCTGGATTGATAATAGCAGAAATGCAATAAGAAACAGAGCTGGTGAAATGATGTGTGCAACAGAACCTTTATGTAGCAATAATAAATAGGAAATATATTTTCTTAAAATTTCCTCAGCACCAAAAACAGAACTGATAATGTTGGTGGTTTCTGATACTACAGTCTTTAATAATTTAGCCTCAGGGTGTGTTTAATACCTAGTTCTGGTACCCATCCCTAAGCCCCACTGAGATCTGGGCCCCTTAGTTTCTCAGCCCCCTGCAAGGAAAACAGCTTTGGTCTGTCAATTCTCAGATGCAGCAACAAGAGTAATTTGAGGGCCCCAGCTGACCAATGGCAAAAAATACACCGTTTCACAATCCTCTCCCCACATCGCAACCATAAAAATGACAGCTTTCTTCCCTTATTAAACGTGAAATGTTGCAGGACCCTCTTATGGCATACAATTAAAAAGAACAAAACTGAACAAATGAACTCCTCAGCACTGCAATAAAAACGTTGCAATAAAAATGTGGCCTAATTACTGTCTTTAGTGGTGCTGGCTCATGTACTTAGTGCTGTGCTTTTAACAGGAACATTAAGTTCAAGTCTAGAGAAAACATACTAAGAGAGAACAGAGAACTTATCTGACCCCTTGATCATGTTAAATGACTTTAAAACAACATCTGAAGTCTAAATGCACTGGAGACAGAGAAAACCGTAACTAAGTCTATTTACATATAACCCTGATGTAGGTAATTAAGATTTTATAAATATTTTGAAGTAGTAGTCCTGCCATGGAGCTCAGGGACGAACCCGTACTGTCATTCCCAGAAGCCCTGCGTCAGGGGCTGGGGGTGGAGTTAGCACTTCTACATGTCCTGAACAGTTTGCAGACACATGGCCAGGATAAGCCCCAGGGAGCCCCCCCCCACCCAGCCCCCCAGAGCCAGCAGGGGACTGGAAACAGGGACCGAAATGAAGGGCTCCAAGCAAAGGCTGTGACCGTCAGGTGTGAACTGGCCAATTCCCCCAGAAACCTCCTAACGACTTCCTGATTAGGCAGCTTTAATTGCCAGGCTGCTGCGTGCATTAATCATCCCACGCAGGCCCCGTCTGCTCAGTGTCAGTGACGGCACGTGAGGTAGCTGGCTCCGCCCCCAGGCCAAACCACCAGATTCGGCCCTCCATGACCTTACTGAACAGCAGCACAGACACGGAGCGGCACATCTGTTGGATGGCTATAGGTGTGCGAGCCCTTATCACCTGGGCATCACCAGGTGAGCTGTGGGCAGAAAGTGACTGGCCGAGCGGCACATGAGAGCTGAACACATCCTGAGATACTGCATTATCAGGTTTAATGTGGCAGAAAAATGTCCTTCACTTCAATAAGAGGCTTTCACAATGGATGCTCAGATCACACCAGGAGAGGGAGCCTCAGCGCCAGGACATGGAGGAGCTCTGATAGCAGACCCTGTGCACCCAGCCGTGCTGTGATGTACAGGCCAGAACAAATGTGACAGCTGGGCCCAAGATTTTCATGGTAGGGAGCAGCAGTGTTACTAAGATGCCATAGAGGGGGTAAAAGATGTCACACATCCACAGAAAGCAAAAGACATACAACCAGTCCTTGCACAACTCTTAATGGTTCTTTTTTTAACCATCCAGGTCCCCCCCATGCCCCCCTGTGGCTCTGACACTGAATGACAGCACTCACCAGACTCCAAGCTCATCTGCTGCAGCACATCCAGGGCCAGAGAGAGCAGGGTGCGGCTGCCTGCTTTCAGGTGGCTAGAGATCACGGGGAGCGCCCGATACAGCAGGAACAGGGCACGCCCGTCATCATGGCGCACGTCTTCATGAAGGGTGCCCAGGGCCTGGGCCAAGATGTCAGCTGGAACGCAGGGTGGGAGGGGAGGGGGTTAGCAGCCCAGTTGCTCATTCAGGAAACAAGTCAGAGCACTTCTACATTAAGCAGCCAGAGTCTCTCATCAACCAGGGAGCTGCACCAATACTGACACATGATACTTCACAATCCATACATACTTCTTAATACTTCACAAGGACGTGAGAGAAAGGGCCAGAACTTAATACTTGCGTACTACATAATACATCACACTCCATTTCTACTCCAGAATACTTTACACTCCATATGTACTCCATTATACTTCACACTCTAATGACTAATATTTCACATGCTGTACTCCATAGTACTTCTCACTCTGTTTGTACTCCACACACTTCACACACACCATAATACTTTACTAAGTTCTCTGTAGTCTTTGGTTCAGCTTTTCCTCATGACATGAGGTTGGAATTCCACACCCAAGAGACAACATACACCTTGAGGTGGAAAACGTGGCCATCGGGGGGAGTGGACTGTATTAACCATAACTGTCTGGGGGAATGGACCATGAGTATTAAGATAGCAACGTTTTTATTAATGAATCCACATTATCAGCAGTTTTATTTCCAGTCAATCAAAGAATAGAGCCAGAAAATCGAGTGAAATCTCATTCAATGTCAACAAAACTGCTTATATTGCTGTAGTCACTGCTGTTGAACCATTGTAAGGGAAGCACTTATACAATACACCTACCAGGTTAAGGAGTGCAAGGAAGTTAATATACTGACCGCAAGGGTAAATTTCTGCTGAACCACAAGTCAAGAACAACACTGCCCTCTGCTGTAGACTCTGCTAACCACATACACACAGAGAGTAAATGGCTTCAGTAGAAAGCAGGAGAGTTCATGGTGCAGCTGGAAGCTGACCCCCACACAGAGTCAGGGATCCACAGCCATGTCACCAGGACATCATCTCTGACCTGCGTGTCTCTCTGGATCCCCGGCATAAACACGGACAGCAGCTACTAATAGTAGCGGTGATCAAATGAAACATCAAAAACTCTGATCATTCGCTCAGCGACAGATAGCCCAAAAGCTGCGGTAAGGCACTGGTTTCCATAACACCAGTACTGGGACAGCTTCAAAATCAGGGAACATTAAAAGGATGTACCATAGAGACAAGTAAATTTCAGCAGACACATGATCACTAAATAGGTGAACTAAACTAAGAGGTAAAGATCTTAAAATGACTGGCAGCTTAAAAATGTACATCATCATCACCCCAGGCTGCAAACTGCATTGGATCCTACTTGCCTAAACTCTTTAACCCATGGTTCAGTAAGCTAGCAGTACCTTGGGTAACCGTCTTCAGGAGGATCAGAGTAGAGAGGAACCTGGCGTGGCGGCTGGGACTCTTATAGAAGAAGGGTGACTTTGTCCTCTGTGGGGGATCCAGGTCGAGCGAAACTCCCTGCAGTACCGTACCGCGATAGACTTCCTCGCCGAGTCGGCGAAAGGTCGACGTCAGCGTGTTCTGCTGCAGAAAGCGAAACGGACCCATTAGAGATCGTGCAAAGGACACAGGGGTGAGGACTCCTACACTGAAAGAACAGGATCACTGCCACAAAGTTCAAAAAAGGTCACCCATGTCATGAGAAGGCACATGTACAGATGCTCATACTGACCCAAATGTGTTTAATGCCAGAATGTGTCACTCTGGCATCCTCAAAGGGCCGTCCTCATAAATACAGCAGCCAAGACAGGGGAAAGACATGCAGCAGGGGGACATGGCTTATGGACCACGTGAGAGGAGGACCAGTCAGCCTGCTCCAGGGCACTATACAGCCAGTAGTCATGTGTGGCAACGTGGAGGGCAGATCAGCTTCTGGGGCGGGGGGGCTACCTGGGGGGGTCCGTCGAGCTGCCTCAGGGACCAGTAGATGAAGCGGAGCAGGGACATGTGGAGGGCGAGGTCATCCACAGGCAGCGTCTGCAGCTGCTCAGCAAGGAGGGGCAGCACCTGCAGGGGCCCCATGAGGCACACAGGAGGGTCGGTTTCAGCAGCAGGACTAAGGAGAGCCAGGCGGGCAGCCTGATGAAAATATATTAAAGTGAGGAGAGTAAAAGCTGACAGCAAATGGCAATGATGGGAGATCACCCTTCAATTTTAATTTATTTTTATATAGCGCTATTCAGCTTCAAACACTTGACAAGAGCATGTAGAAATCAATTATTACATCATTTATACAAAATGGTGCATAAAACAAGGGGGAGGGAGACAGACAGACAGAAAGAATATGAAAGAAAAGGCCAGAAGGCAAAGGAGGAGAGGAATCAAAAACCCCCAAGGAGTAAGAAACAAAAAACATTTTCAGCCCAGGGAAAAGCTGCACTGAAATCAGGGAGGAGAAGTTCACTGGGTACAGAAGAGCTTCCAGGCGACCAAAGCTCGCCGGCTTCCATTGCGGCATTTTTACAGGGCCGGAAGCAGATGAGGAAGCGAGCAAGATGGACGGTGACGTTCCGCTGGGTGCCATCATGCATTGCCTTTTAGAACCTGATGCCCTCCAGGTGGGACACTGGCATTGACTCCAGGGGGCCCTAGCAAGATGCCACAAATGCTCAAGCACATGGAAAATGAGCATCATACTTTTGAGCATCTCTCCGGAAGGGAGCCTGGGGTCACCTCCTGCTGGCCCAGGGCTGTCTTCAGCTGCGTTGCTCCTGGAGGGGCTAGGAGGCTGTCCGTCACCCAGTCGAGGGTCTGCACCAATAGCTTGAAAATGCCAGGGTGCCTGGGGCCCTGGGGAGGGAAATTGGTAGCTTCACATAGCTGTGACCATCACTGTCAGAAGCGAAATTCACCAACTGATGGACAAAGACGAGTTCTTAGATACGAAGTTCCTTAAACTTAGAGAATCAAGCAGTACACAAAGAAAGTGGACAGCTACTCACTTTGGACCCGGCTTCTAAGTCATCAAAGAGACTCATTTCCAGTTACAAAGTCAGTTACCTAGATCAGTGTATGGAATTGGGAGGGAGCAAAATTGTGGACTGTCTGGCAGAAAGCTGGGAGGGAGTAAAAACATGGACCGTCTGGGGGGTCCCTGAGGACTGGGTTGAGAAACACTGAAATAGTTAACCTTCCACTGTCAAGCTTACTGGATCAGCAGAGACCTGGCAGCCATCTAGCCTCAAACACCATTTTCAGCATACTCTTCTGGTCTGTATACCTTGGGTAGTTTTCCAGGGATGGAAGAGCTGTCCTGTGTGGGAGGTTTCACCCCCTGGCTCTTTGAAGTGATGTTTTCACGGCCCTTCTGTGCTAAAGAATACTCATATTTTCTCTAAAACAAAAATGGCAATATAAGCATTTTTACACAAAGAACTGAATTCTTGTCAGAGATCATGCAGAAAACTGACAGCAGACATATGTCTTCAGGATTACATGTCATCTCATTTTAAGCAAAACTCTAATTAGACATATACATTAAATGACACAGGTTGTAATGATAACCAAAACCTATCTGGATGTAGTCCCATAACCTCCTGAGACCCAAGGACTTCAATTTTAGGTTATTTGTCTTTGGAGGAAATAAGACATCTTACAATTTAGATTTTTTCAAATGTATTTTTATTTTTAATTTCACAGCATGTCCTCTTTAGTGTACAACAGGAATAAATATGTTTCCTTACATCAGTGAAAAGATAGATGCAAAAACAATATGTCCACTACAATGGACATAAATGAATGGGTGGGGTCTCAGGAGGATAATCTACCACAGACCCAAAGTCACCTGTCCGTTACCTCACCTGCAGGTTCTCCAGACGGGCTTGCACTTTCCTTGACTTGATCTCCATCTTTTTGCTTTGTTCACTGACATCACTGAGCTGTACACAAACACTCCATTGTTAGAGAAACAAAGGTAAGACAGTAATGGCAAAACACTGGTAAATTAAAGCAGAGGTATGTCCCTTAGTGTTGAAAAGTGATTTAGAAAACTGTCAATGGTTTGTTCTTCCATCAATGATACAGAAGGTAAAACTAAATATTAAAATAAAACATGTGACAAAGCGCCTGGGAGCAGAAGAAAAATAGAATAAACTGTTGCCTGCTTCTTCAACGCCTCATTCATCTCCTTGACTGCTTCCAAGCTGGATTTCATTCTCTTGCTTTCCTTTGTTTTCTCTTCCAGTGCCTCCTTTAACTCTCTGATCTTCTGCTGGTACTGCAACAAGAAGAAGATGCCACTCCAATAGTAGGTATTCTTATTTTTTGCCAAGCACATATTACTAGTGATTACTGTTAGCAAGTATGCCACACAGATCAAGATGCAGAGATCAGGTGGCGACACCAGAATGGGGGCTTGCCCTGCCTATTCCGGCCAGGACAGCAGTTAGAGAACAAGGTCTCAGGCAGCTTGATCGTTGACCTTTTAAGTGAAAGACTGAGCTGTATAGCAGACCTGTTATTTATAGCAGGTTATTTAAAGAGAAAAAACAGGTATAAAACATCATCAAGTACAGGAGGGAGTAAGTCTCTGGATATCACCTCCTGCAGCTCACAGACCTGCTCGACCTCGCACAGGGCATCGCAACTGCGGAGCAGCACACACTCTTTCTGCTGCAGTCTTGCAGCCCAGCGCTGCTGGTGTACCCTCTCAGCCTGCACACAGCCAAAGTAACAGTGTCACATCTCTAATCACTGTGCTGTAGCTGTACAGAGTGGCATTGCTTTGCTAACTTGCTCAAACAGTAAGTGAATAGAGGTAGCTGGGACCACCTACCTGGAGCTTTTCATAAATCTCCAGCATCTCCTGGTAAACCTGACTTATGTTTGGTGAGGTGGACTTCATCTGAGAAGAGCACACTTCCAATGCCCTCCCACCAGAGGGAGCTGCTGCCTTCATCACACAGGAGTTGGAGATCCTGGCCAGATTGGAGGGCAGAGTCACATCTGTATCAAAAAAAGATATTAAGCATTTTAACTTTGAGTACTCCATATCATCGTTTCTCATTAATACTTTTTTATTGATAAAAAAAAATATTTGTATGATTTAACCTGAGGGGCAAAGCACATGCCTGTTTCAGTGTAGAAGTAACTATGGCTGTCTAGCACGGAGTCTGATTCCTCACCACTGTCCTCATATTCACCTTCTGCTTGGTTCAGCTCCAGATTATGTTTCCTGTAATGACAGAGGTCACTCAGTAGCCACAAGATTTTTAGCGGCACAGAACAAACAGCAAACAGCAGAAAATACAATTTTGAGAACCCATCTAGGGTGACCAGATAATCCATGTCAGGGAGGACACTCTGAGCTAGGACAGGAATTGTAAATTACCATTTCAATTAAACTGACCTGGATTTCACTTGAGCACTGAGTTCTTGCTGTTTGCTGATTGGTCAGTCTCCTATAATCATGCATGTGTCACTAATGCTAATGTGAAACAGCTGGATGAGTCTTTCAGTCAAGGAAACAAAGGAGTCAAAGCACAAGCAGAGCTGAACTATTTAGCAGAGCATAGGAGCCTTTGAAAGTTGTTTGTAAAACCCGTAGTAGCTCAATGTGTCCTCCCTGACATGGATTATCTGGTCACCCTAAACCCATCACGGTTATTCGGGACCAACCTGAAAGGTTCTCGGACAGGTTTCTTGCAGTCAGTTGTTTCCCCGAAAACTGGGGGTATATATTCCTCTGCGCAGGGCGAATATCTTTTTCGAGGTAGGTCTGTAAAAGTGAAACGTGTCTTTACTCATATGCAGCAATTATCAGTACAAAATACCCGCTTTTATAATAAACCATATGCAATACGAGAAATCGTGTGAATGCAATAAAACGAAACATTGACGTCATTTTATTTTCCACTCGTTTTCTTTTTTTGAACATCAAAACTGACCATAAAACGGGAACTTCTCGGTCGCACAGTTTCTTGCAGGTGCACCCTCGGCCGCTTCCTAAAAAAATTAAAATCACATACACACACACACAGGCCACACATCGTTAGTAAAACACACCCTTCCACAAAATCCAGGGTTGCAACTCTCACGCATCCAGCGTGACACACTCTCTGACCCCCACGCTTACTTACGGCAAATCAAGTCTAGCTACATAAACAGCGTTGGGGTAGCTTGCAAGCCCTACTATTTACCACGTAATAACACTGTTGTATACATGTCACTGCTTGTGCATGTGTGCACACTTCTCTCGAAATTAAAATCTCACGCTAGACAGTTGATCAAAGTTGGCAACACTGAACATCTAGTCGTTTCCATAATCAGCAGTATATGTACCTAAAGATTCGCCAACAAACACAAATGGACAGTGTTAATGCAGACAGCCCACTGCTAGAAATTACGCCAGGTTATTGGTTTTGTTAGAAATCTTTAAACTTGGTCAGAATATTTGACTCGGTCTATTGTCTGACCAGATTGTTGTGTCTGTCATCTGTTGGTCACCAACCTAGTTACCACCAACTTTGGTGTTACGCGTTTTAAACCTTTATAAATGCACAACTGGTGAATTACTTTACCCAATCGATCCTCTCCAAGTACTTTTTCTTCAGCTTTTCTACAGCGGTGTCTATGTCGACGTCCGACGACAGACTATTCATTTTCAAAAACATCCAGAAGTAGCCAACTTATGGCCGGAAATTTAAATTTCGTGCCCTTTCCGCAAACCGGAACTGACGCCCTGTATACACCTTACCGTAATCTCTTTTTCTCTGGTGGAAAATGCACTTACCGTAAATCAAAGAAAATATACGCACACCAGAGATACGCAGTCGTGTCCCTCATCATAGCTATGAAAATGTTAGTATTAGGGATGCATTTTTTTAAACCAAATATGAGTACCGATGCACGCTGTCTGGTACTCACCGATATCCATACCAATTAGTGGTCTAAAAAATTAGATATTTAATATAAACCATAATATAAAAATTATTTTAAAAACATGTCGCGGGCCGTCTACAACAGCGGTCACTAACAGGCGGACCGCGGTCCGGGTCCAGACCCAGAAGCTGTCCCATACGGACCCGGACCGACAGCCAAAACATTTAGTTATTATTTCAAAACTAACGGGGCGCTTTTATTTTAACCGGCGCAGCGTTTGTAGTCTTTTCGGTAGTGGTTTAGCAGTAGAACCTGAAATCGTAAAGCTGAAGCCAGCTGGCCGAAGTTCTATGTCACGTGACAATAATGTCAAAACTTTTTGAATTGTACTGAATTAATTTGATTTGACAGTCCGGTACTGATTACATACAACGTTGATGCAACTAATAGGCTACTTAAATATATATCACACTATTAAATAGTTAGACATTATTATCTGGACCTTTGCTTCAAGATTTTTTCTCTAACTGGACATCTTTAAATTTTAGTTGAATACCCCTGGCCTACAACCTTGGTTCACAAAGGTTTTACATCGCGTAATTCCATTACATTATTTACCTTAACGAAAAATATACTGGGTAAGTGTTATTTTCATTGCATGAGGGTTAAAGTACTGCACTTATATTGCATGAACTTGTTTCGTACCTCCTCTTGATGGTTCAGCAGAGCACAATCTTGAGTATTTTCGTTTTTGTCGTTAAGAACCCCCACACTGCAAACAATATGTAGTCCCGTTTATTTCGCTTAACGATATGGCTGATATGTCACCACATGGTATCGATTAAAGGTATTGAGTACATGAGCACTGTATCGAAACCCGAAATGTATACTAGTTTCAGTGCACCCATAATTAATAGTAATTAGCATTTAAGTGCAATGATAAAAACGTTTTTACAGTGATACCGTTAGACAGGAAATTTTGGAAAGAATGTGCTTAAATAGAATTTCTTCAACATCGTTCCACTCGATCTTTCCACAATCCAGGCAGGGAAAAATATAGTAAAATTTATCCTTTATTAATATAAAGACATTTACAAAACCACACATACAAAATGCACACAGTGCAGAGTGTTGAGAGTCGGCTACAGCTGCCCACAGTCTGTACTAACTATGCGTTTAAGTGTCTTCCCACTTTAAGCTAAGATGTCCCATCTGTGTGACCACCCCCATGGAGGTATTCCTGTCGCGGTTCACCATGGACAGCAGACCTGGCCTGATGTGTCTTACAACAAAGTTCTCATCTTCAAACTTATTTCCATGGATGGACTTTCCTCCTGTTCCATCCTGCTTGGTTATGGAGCTACTCCAAGGGAAGGGAGAAGAAAAAAAACATTCACTGAAGGCAGGCAGCACATGGTACTACTACAGTGTTGAAGGAAAAAACTGTCATATTTAAACAGGGGTGTCTGTGAGCCCTGTGACAGACTAGCAACATATCAAGGGTGTCCACAGTGGCACCAGTGCACTAAACAAGCATTGATGGAAGATCTACAATGGAGACCATGCCATACAATCCTTCAGCAGCCCAACACCCAGATTTGGGAATTCTCTCCCCTTGAATATCCAGCAATTGTATTCAATTACTCCAAATCATGCCTTAAAACTATTCTGTTTAAATTAGCTTTCTCCCTTTCATGAATTCTGATTTTGTTACAGTTTCTTGTTTGTTGTTTTACACAAATTAAATGACTTAATTTTTAAGGTGATCTTGACTGTCCTGAAAGGTGCCCAAAAATAAAATGTAGTAATAACAAAATGCTCTCCCGCTAATTTCCACCTATGGACATGAGTTCTTTTATCTGAACTAATACTGAAGTAACTATTCAGCTGAACAGTATCCAGACCTGTTATATACCTGGATCATGTCCCCCCTCTTAGTCTTTGCTGGTAAACTCCAGATGGCCAGGGGTCTGGGAAGGTTCCACTTGAGTCAAATGGCTCTGGCACAGCTCAAACATCTTCTTGAAGGTGTCTGCCAGTTCTTCATTTTTAAACTTAGCTGCCAGCTGCTCTACCTTCGGATTTTCCTCTGTGGAAACAATAACAGCACCCATATCTACACACGTTTCAGATGCCCGACACCAGTATTTACACGTACGACTTGTAATTCTGGGAAAGGGTTGTCTGGCAAACACCAGCAGCCCTAAAATACACGGCTTATGCAGGTTTCTGCCACCGCTGTGATAGGATTAGCAGTGCTGAAAAAAGAAAATCCCATAGGTGGAGTGAAATGGCCCACAGCATTAAGTAACAGTGGCACTTTGAAAGGGGCCTTTCTTCAAAGAAAACACTTCTAAGAGGGAGGGATTACCAGAGTAGTCAGTGGCAGTCCACACCAGAGCGTTGCTGGAGGAACTCATAGGCTTCAGCTCCATAGCCGTGGTGATAGTGTGATTAGCACAAACTTTGAGAACCTGCTCCCTTCGCATGAGGACTCTGTAGTAACATTTTTGTTGCTGACAGAGGATCTTGAGGTCTCCTACACCACGCTCTTTCCACTGGCACAGGGCACGGTCCCAGCGGTAAAGCTTGGCCCGCGCTTTGAAAAGGACCTCTTCATCTTCCTCACCAGACTTTATCTCCACCTCCAATCAAAACACCCATTTTAAAAAAAAAACTATTTGCAAAGCACATAACAATGAACCAGCAAACACAAGAATTAACATCAAATGTTATTATTCATTGAAGACTCTGCACTAGTAATACATTTAATTCGGCAAGCCACCCAGCCAGCAGATGGGCTCTATGGTGCTACTGGAAAGTAGAGAATAAAGAGAAATGGCCATGCTATGGCTAAGGCTTGTACCTCTGGCAGGTGAACAATAGGCTCAAAATGCACATCATCACTGGAGGGGGCCTCTGCATCGTCACTCGCCTCATCTTCCGTTCGTTGGGACACGGTACCGATCCCAAACACAGCGGCTCCTGCATTAGCCCAGGTAAAACTGGAATCTAGAAACATGAGGAGTGAGAGACAGACATTTTTAGATCGACATGAGATGTGTTAAACCTAGATACGATATAAACTTGAGCTATTTATACTATAACTGGGCCAACCTTGTTTTCCAAAAGCATATTCCCCTGAACTGTTTGCGAGGTCTGCAAAGGAAACTCCCCCCACAGACTGAATTCCAAATGAAAAAGTATCTGTAGGACGGAAAAACAGATTATCCACATGCAGAAAATCTGAGCACATGTAAGTGAAATATCCATTTCAGCACACAATAGTGTCCCCAAATGTACAGCTGTATATCTACCTTTACTGGTGGAGTCTGGCTTATCGCTTTTCTTAGCAGACAGGTCAATGGGGCAGCTGTCTCCGGCAACAAAGACTGGGTAAGCATCACTTGTGGAATCAGGCTGGCTTTCAGGGACTATGACCACGCCCTTAGTCATATTCACAGTGGCCACAGGGGTGTCGCTGCTGCTGGACACGGCGGAAAGAGACAACTGTTCTCTCCTCTGTACACCCTGAAATGAAAAAGTGGGATTCAGTGAGTGTTATGATTGCGGACGGTACACAAAAAATAACCTCCAGAGGTCCTTGTACTCTTCTGATGTCCCCTGCCTTGTCAGCCTCTGTGTGGGGATGCTGGAGGCACTTGTCTCTGCCCAGTTCAGTTACCGGTACTCTCTCGCAGGTCGCAACTCCATCACCCAGCCATTTTCCGCTGGATTCTACAGGTGAGTGAGAATACAGTATGTCATGGACTATCGTTGTATAAGCAGAAAGAACTGGCTACTTAGGCCCAATCCCATTTCTCCTCCCTTAGCCCTACCACTAGATTTCGAGGGCCCTCCCTTCCCAAGTTGACTTCACAGATCGTAGCCACAAGGGGTAGGGTTTGAAATGTATACCTAGGAATCAGGACACCACTCGCTTATGTCATCAGCAGTCGATCATTGCACATATGTTTCACACCTGCGACTTCGCATTTGTTTGTAACAATGCCGGCTCAAGGTATGGCATTGTCGACTGCGTGCATTTTAATCACCATACTCCGCTTGATGAATACTCGAAGAAGACGTCTGCGACGCCTGCTAACGCTTGTGGTTTTTTATGAGATATCGTTTAAAAACGACTCGTGTTTGTGTCAGCTAGAGTGCCTGGCTAAAGTTTTACCTGTCAGTTTACCTGTGTCACAATGTTGATAATATAATGTACCTAATTTTCATTGCTTAATGTATTTGGCATACTATTTCCTTTTATAAATGTGACTTTATGTGCATGTACACAGCGATTAACATACAAATTAGAATAAACATTATTTTATGTACCGTTTAGCAAATGCTATCCAAACGCCGCATGCTTAAATACAGTGCATCGCGGTACAATACAATTCTTTTTTACCTCAACTTTTTTTAAAAGTACATGTGCTATATGTGTGCAGATTATTTGTTTTATTGCCCTGTATGCATGAACACATGGAACATTTTAAAGGTAAAATCATTTGTTTGCTCTGATACCATTTAGGTATCTTTAATGAAAGAGGACTTTCAAGTTAAAGTAATGTGTATCAAATCGGGGGTGAGTTTCCCAAAAGTGTCGTAGCCAAAAAACAAAAAAAAGACTTTGAATGCTCTCTCTCTGAATAAATACGTTCTTAATTCTTTGACGGTTTTGTGAAACTCACCCCTGATCGGTTCTTTTTCTATAAATACTACAGAGATACTGCTCTGTCTCTACGCACGGAATTAGCGATTTTCAGAAAATTGTTTTTGAAAAATTCAACTTAATACTGCGTTGCACTTACAGTAAACTAAGATATTCCGCTTTGAATTAGATTTTTTTGCAAGCGTATTTATAAAGATGTATTACATTTATGAGCTTCTTTCCCCACACCGCTAGCCATCTTTTCTTTTCTTGTTGTGTATAACAATGTATTGTGGGAATTTTCTTCTTTCACTCAGTTTTGAGTCAGCATCTGAAAAATCTCCGTTTCGAGGGCTATCTTGCGGGCTGAACACCACTACCCCTCGCTGCTAAAAAGAAATGGTACAACACTACCCTACGCGGGTACGCGCAAAACAGAGGGGTAGGGCTAAGTGGGGGTATTGGGATTGGGCCTTATACAGCAACCATGACAAAGCTAATGCAATATTTTTGCAAGACCTGAACAATAAAACCTAACAAGGCTCTGTAATGCTTCATTCCATCAAAAAGCATACACTGTCCTCCATAATGTTTGGGACAAAGACACATTTTTCCTTGATTTACCCCTCTGCTCCAGAGTTTAAAATTTCAAATCAAATCAAGCAATTCAGACATGATTAAAGTGCAAACTCCAGATCTTAATATAAAGTTATTTGCATACATTTAGGTTTCACTTTGTAGAAATTACAGCTCATTTTATACACAGTCCCTCTCATTGCAAGGATCCATAATGTTTGAGACATTTGGCTTCACAGCTGTTTGCGATTACGCTGGTGTGTGTCATTGCTACATTAGTGCAGGGATAAGATACCTAGGCTTGCTTCTACCATTTGGAGTCTGTAGTTGCTATTGTTACACATGAGGAGAAGAGCTGTCAATGAAAGAAGCTATTATGAGGCTAAAAAACAAGAATAAAACCATTTATAGACATTGTTCAGATCTTACCAAATTAACTGTCTGGAATGTCATTAAGAAGAAAGAATGCACTAGTGAGCTCAGTACTCACAAAAGGACTGGAAGGCCAGTGAGGACCTCCACTACTGATGACAGAAGATTAAATCCAGTTGAGCATGCCGGCTATATGCAACGTGGAAACTTAAAGGGGCAAGTCCCCGAAACAAGCAGGAGCTGAATATGGCTGAAGGCCTGGCAGAGCATCACCAGAGAAGATACTCAGCACCTGGTGAGGTCTATGAATCAGACTTCAAGCAGCTGTTGCATGCAAGGAACATGCAACAAAGTATTAAATATGACTGCTTTATTATACACACACCATTGCTATGTCCCAAACATTACGGTGCCCTGAAATAGGGGTCTATGTGTAAAAAGTTTCGTAATTTCTACAGAGTGAAACTAACAAAGTCTGGAAAGTGCACTTTAATGTCGTCTAAATTATTTGATTTAAAAATTTTATACTGTGGAGCAGAGGAGTAAATCAAGGAAAATGTATGCTGAAAATGTCCCACATATTATGGAGGACACTGTATTTGATAAAAAATGTATAGCAGGTGTGTGTGTGTATATATATTAAAAAAAAAAAAATCCCCCCACTCTGTACGATGCAAAGATGGGACTAATACAGGATCATCTTATCTTTTCTTGTTCACATACAGCCCTTGCCAGCTTCATTCATACAGGGGGACCCAAGTCATATCAGTCAGTCACCTTTTTCCTGCACTGTGGCACCTTCAGGATTACTGGGATACAGCCTCCCATTAAGCTTCCGCACTGCCGTGTCAAAGTCTTCATCTGAAAGAAAGAGTGTAAATAATGGCAGCATTTGAAAATCCTGGCTCTTTCAGACAGTAAAATGATACACAGGAGGATAAAGGAGGCAATTTCATAAGAATGAAACCAGGGAGGGAACCAAGCACAATCAATGAGCAGCTTGCTAAAGTTACAAGAAGCTGGCTATCGCCTTCCACTTGTGCCTTTCCAACATATACAGAAAACTTACTAAACTCCCAGCACAATCCGTCATGGCCGAACAGACTGACCTAGCTCATCCCCATCCAGACACTAAATCCAGTTGCCTTTTCAGATTTTCGTGGGTATTTCAGATGTTGTGAGGGACAATTACCATCATCCTCGTCATCACTGATGTAGTCGGGCTCATTCTGATAACAGAAGAAAGTGATGGGCAGCAGGAGTTCCCGGGCCAGGCGTGCTTGCTCACTGGTGGGCTCACGCACAAACACGACCTGGACATCCTCCACATCTTCACTCGTGTCTGCGATGTCTGTTCTGCCTTTACTCTCACTCGCAACTTCATGTTGTAACAACACAGAATGCAAGGAGTTACATACAGAAATAACCGGAAGTGAGGGCAAGTCAGCTGCAATTCCAGGAGTTGGTTTCAGGATAACATTCCTGTTTATGGATGAAGTATTTTCACGGATCACTATTGTCACACCAAAATCAGAAATGGATTCATGTGAAAAGGAGACGGCTTGAAACAGGCCTCACAACAAGCTGTACAAATGAGCAAGAGACCTTTGACAACATGAAGGGGGGGAATGAGACGTTTGCTTGTCTCTGGGGTTAGTTCCACACGGGCCTCAATCCACTGAAGGCATGCAGAAGAAAGTTTAAAAAGTAAAGCAATTGAGTGTTTCAACTGAAGAAAAGATTTATTCATCATGACAAAATGCCCCAGACCCCATGTTTGACTCTAGTCCTACTGTAACTGCTTTCTGTTGAAAACAACACAGTGCAACACATTATAATTTTGTTTTTCAGCCCTGTCTCCTTACAAACGCTACATAACACACAAAGGTGCCTCTATGTGGCTGACCCCTACATCACTGTGCAGTGCATCATGCCTGGAGCATGACCAAACCCCTGCATGCACGCTGCTGGTTACCAGGAAGCACCTGGAAAACCTCCATCCATTTTCTGGACAAACTCAGTCAGCATCTCTCTCTCCGACTGTCCCACAGTAGCTCTTTTACAGAAAAAAAACAGCTGGGCCACAATCAAAATGGCTGAGCCACGTTAACATCGATCCGGACCTTGAGGAGCATGCAGCATGTTAGGGCTTTGTTAACACACCGATCCACACCATCCAGGTTAAATCTGGCAGCCATCACCGCTTACATGTCACTGTGTACACAGTGCAGTGACAGAGTACCTTGGGGTTTGAATCGGTTGGATGCTGCGCTGGTCCAAAATGCCATTGGATTATCTTTGAAAAGCCTAAAATCCAATCCTAAAAGAATAACGATTGTAGATAAGAAAATTCCAATTTAGGTGATAATATGAAATGCTGGAAAGGGACTCCTGTCTTTCATGCAAACTTTCAAAATACAGTTTAAAGTCAACAGCAGTATATTTTTTGTATTGAATGTGCATACATATGCCCACACAATCCAGAATATAGTGCGTGTTGGTGTGAACCCCTATTAAAACATACAGAATGATTTATGGAATCTCAAATGTATAGAATTGAAGCTGAAGTGAGCCACTGGCTTGTTCACCTTCTCATATAGAATGAGATGCTTATTTGCCAGAGAAATGTACATTAACAGAACCACAAGCTGAAGCCTCAAGGCTGGTTCATACTTCTCCGCACAAACGCAACACTCACGCATCCCCTCTACGTATGCATACACGGAAATATTCTCCGGTCAAGCTGTGTACTTTGCACATGTGCACATGTCGTATTATTATTATTATTATTATTATTATTATTATTATTACATAATAATAATAATAATAAATAATAATAATAATAATAATAATAATAATAATTAGTAATATTCTGATATTCCCTAAGCTCACAGGGTTGCCAATTTTGGTCAGCTAGCTGGTGTTAGATTTACAATTCGAGATAAGTCTGTACTCATTAGGGATGCACCGATTCGATACCTATATCGGATATCGGTCTGATAATGGCTTAAATAGGTGGATCGGATAACCAGTAGCATTGGGCCGATCTACGGGACCAATCTATTTGATTAGGTTTTTCTGTATTCGTACATGTGCGGAAGCTACATCAAGCACGCACAAACTCCATTACGCATCAGCAATGCGCAGATAAACCAGCATGTTTTGTTTAGAAAAACTACAATAGGTAACAGTATGAAGGGAGTTAACAACAATCATCTGTGTGGAGGTATTTCAAGCTTGCTACTGTATGCCAACAAATTCAAAGCCTGTTTGCAATATCTGCAGCAACACTGCAAAGTACAACACAACCAACTTAATAAAGCACCTCCAGAAGCATCATGCCAAAGAGTGTGAGGAGTTCAACAAAACAAAAACAGGGTACTGTTCGAAGCAGTTAACTCTACAGGCAGCGTTGAAAAGAGAGAAACTCCTTGGTAAGAGAGAAAAGTGACAAAAAAATAACAGAAAATAACAGTAGTGGAGGTCCTCACTGGCCATCCCTGACTTAACACTTTGAACCATGGTACAGTTTGCCATCACGGAAATATTTTTCTAAGAATGCTCTATCCAAGCCATTCAAAAAAGTATTTGAACATGTATCAAAAATGATAAAACATGCGCCAGCGATTAGCTTCACAACTGATACCTGGAGCTCTGATGCGTGCCCATTATCGCTTTTGAGTTTAAACTGCACACTGGTTGGATGCGAGCCTCAATGTGCGGTGCTACAAGCTAAAAACTTCTAAGGATCACACACTGGCAAATCAATTTCAAACAGTTATAAAGGTAATGCTTGTTCAATGGCACATTCCATTTAGTAAAGGGCATGTAATTTTGTGGTTATACTTATAACATTACTTACACTGGAATTGAAATTTCTGTTACTTTACTGTTACCAGGTAGTTAGTATTATGTTAATAGTAAATAATTCAGCTTATACATGTGTGTGTGTATTTTTTTTTACATTGTCTTCCAAAATGAGGTATTTAGGTCAAGTATTTAAGCCTGATGTATCCTTAAATATAATGTCCAGCTCCACTCCAAAGTGTGACAAACGTCTTATTAGTCACCGGGATCGGCTGATACCCAAAGCCCAGGTATTGGTATCGGAACTGAAATAGTTGGATTGGTGCATCCCTACTACTCACACACAAATTTGCATGTATGTAACAGTTTTATTACCTTGTAAATAGTCTGTAGGGTTTGCAAACTACCCCAACGACCGTCAAAAGCATCCATGTTTGTATTTAAAGTGGAGGCTAGCAAATTGATCATGCGCAGAATGTTCATAGCTGCTCAGACACAAATTTGGAGTGCAGCAGGCGTTCGTCCACAATGACGTCAAATGCGTCAAACGTTTCAGTGGATGCGTCTGCTAGTACACATGCGGAGAAGTATGAAGCTTTCAGACGACAAAAGGATCCCTACTTTTGCTAGACCACTGATCAAACAGCAGGCATATCCTACCTCCCTCTGGAACTCTGAATGCAGGCATCATGGGACTTAGTGAGGGCTGAGAGGCACTGACGGAAATCTTGAAGCTTGGGGATGAAGCAGTGAGTGCTTTCTCTTTTGGTTTAATCTTACTGGAAACATTCTGTGTACAAGATGACGGGCTTCCAAAGATTTTTTGGACAGAGTCAGAGCCAAAGACAAATTTTGGTGGTGAAACAACAGCTGCAGATAAGTTATGAGAGTGTGCCATGAATGGGGCAGCTGTCATATTATCTGGGGTACACGACCCATGAGAAAGATTTTCTTGAGAAGTCTCTTTCAACATCACAGCAGCAGGCTTCTGACAGAGAGCCTCTTGTGAGGGAGCTTCCCCAGGTGAAATGGGTGAGACCAGAACCTTGTTTTCCTGAGCATCCTTAGCTTTCTCAAAAGCATCCTTAAAAGAATTTGCTACTTCCTGTAATTTAAAGCGAACAGCCAGTTGCTCAATGTTACCCTTGCCTTCTGCAAAGTCAAAAGCACTCCACACCCATGCCTTTTCGGCACCTTTCATGGGTTCCAGCTTCATGCTGGAGGTAATCCAATGATTAGCACACAGTTTGAGCACCTGATCTCGCCTCATAACAAGCCGTACACGTTTGGAATCATCGTTTTGCAGTATTTTGATATCCCCAATACCCCTCTCTTTCCACTGCTGAAGATCTTTAGCATAACGAAACAACTTTGCTCTGTGGATGAACACCACCTGTTCATTTTCCTCACCTGTAGAGATATCCACTAGATCAGGTAAGGGCACAATGGGTTCAAAAAACTGCCCATCCCTGTCGTCTTCTTGAGTTGTTTCAGATTCCTCATCTGTGCCAACAGATACTCTGCTCTGGTTAACTCTTGATGGAGATTTGGTGGGGGTGACAATAGGCTGGAAACTGAAGTTGAAATCAGATGTTGACTCTCCAAAACGAAACAATGCTCTCTGAACAGGACTGTTAGATGATGGGGAAGCACACAGAGAGGCTTCTGAACTATCATGCAAGGGTTCTTTTTGCAAGTTATAATCTTCCCATTCCAAAGTAGGGATTGTACTGTCCGCATTGCTTTTAAGGACCAACCTCGAAGTGTCGGCAGCAGTAGCAGTACTGACTTGACCTTCATCCTGGCTGATTTTTGCTTTATCATCAGTCAAGAAAGATTTCAGGTGTTTTAAGCCAGATTTCATCTCTTCTGCTTTTTGAATTAGATGTGCAGTCCTTCCAGAGTCAATCAGTTTGTGAGGAGTCTGCAAAGGTATGTCCAGGAGAAGTTTCTGACACTCCTCAAACTTTAGCTTAAACTCTTTTGCCAAGTCTGGTGTTTTAAACTTGGCAGCAAGCTGCTCCGGCTTGGCATCGCCATCAGAGAAATCATTAGCGAGCCACATCCAAGCTCTATCAGATCCAGAGAGAGGCTTCAGATTCATAGTGGTATTGATCCAGTGGTTGGCACACACCTTGAGCACCTGGTCTCTCCTCATAAGCACTCTAAGCCTTCCATTTTCTTTGTTTTTCAGAAACTTCAGATTTCCAACACCTCTCTCTTTCCACTGGCTAGAATCTGCATCAAATCTAAAAAGCTTAACACGCTGAGAATACAACACATCTTCGTTTTCCTCCCCTGTGACCAGATCCACTTTCTCAGGCATCTTGACTACAGGTTCAAACTGAATGTCGTCATTCTCCTCAGTCTTGTACATGTCATCTTCATCCTGAACGGAGCTATTAATTTTAACAGGAGGCTGAAGTGATGTAAAAACCTGTTCACCTGCTTGGGTGAAGTCTTTAAATTCAGGGTCCTTATGCTCAAACTGAAAGTCACCCTGAGAGGATCTGGTTAAATCTGCTAACGGTAATGTGTATGGTTTGAAGTGCAACACAGGACTTTCGCCTTGTTCACCTTGAGCTGGAAAATAGGACTTGGTGACATCTGTACCATGGTTCCCTTTTTCTTTAGATTCATTACTATGGTTTTTTGGAAAGGATTCAAAAGTGGGCTCTTTTACAGGTTCCTGTATTCCAAACTTAAACCCACCAGTAGGGATTGGCATTGAAAAAGAAAAGCCACTGCTGGAAGAAGAGGTGGCTGACTTCAGTTCAACCTTAGATGAATGGGGACCCTTGTCATCCGCTTGACCAAATTTAAAGGTGCTGGGAGCACTGAACCTAGGAAATTGCTCTGGTGATTTCGGATTTAAAATAAAGCCTGAAAGTAAAGGTGTGGCTTTGACTTTTGCACTTGAATTAGGGGTCCCACAGGAAACACAGTGACTTGAAGAGAATTCATTTCTTGTCAAACATTTCTCACAATCCCATGGTCCTTCTAGCATCTGGATTTTGAAGGGAGCCTGGCAGGAAATACAGCGAGTTGCACTGGCCTCATTCCTAACTGCACAAGAGTCACAATCCCATTGAGAAGACTTCTTACAGGGATTTGGAGTCTGGCAAGCCATACAGCAGGCTGCGGTGGCCTCATTCCTCACTGCACAAGTGTCACAATCCCATTGAGAAGACTTCTTACAGGGATTTGGAGCCTGGCAATCCATACAGCAGGCTGCAGTGGCCTCATTCCTCACTGCACAAGTGTCACAATCCCATTGAGAAGACTTCTTACAGGGATTTGGAGCCTGGCAAGCCATACAGCAGGCTGCAGTGGCCTCATTCCTTACCGCACAAGTGTCACAATCCCACTGACCAGACATCTTGGTAAACTGAGCACCAAACCCACTGCTGGACAAACTACTTGCTGGTTTCACTGCAGATGTGGAATCCACCAAAGACTTGCGGTTAGGATTTGGAGCCTGACAAGCAATACAAGAAGTTGCAGTGGCTTCATTCATTATGGAACATGTGTCACAATCCCACTGACCAGGCTTCTTGGTAAACTGAGCACCAAACCCACTGCT